ATTATCATTTTATTGGCTATTATATAATGAGAACTAGATAGACACAGTATCTGACTTCTTAGGATTACAAATGACGTAGACAGTCATAAAGAGAACACAGTGAAAGCCAGATATGAACAGTAAATAAACACAAAAGACAGCAAAAAGTTTACGTGGCAAACAGGTCAAGGTTTCGGGTCTTACAAGAGGAGGGAACAAATACAGGACCTTGAAAAACACATCCTACATAAGTTAAAAGAAGCTAGCCCCCTGTTCCAATTAATTTTAGCAGGCTTCCTAGAAGAAGTGAGCCTTCAGAAAGATATAAATTCTAGCAATCAAACATTTGGTTAGGGGAACCTTGCTCCTAAGCTGCCAGGAAAAAAAAAAAAAAAAAAAAAAAGGCCAACTATCTTACGTGGCCATTTCCTCAGTAAATACTGTCCCATGCTGTTCTTTCGTGATCTCTCCACTACCCTCTCCACTGCACCAATGTGAGATGGGGGAACCAAGACCTAAAAAAGGGAAATGAGAGGAAGGGGTATTTGTGGACTGTAATGGACGTGGAATCCGGGAGAGTCCTTGAATCCCCAAGTCACCGCTGAATAAACAGCAGCCTCTCTGCTCCTTCTGGTGGAGCTGTGACTTTGGACAAAGTTACTTCTGCTTTGGACTCACTTAACCTTTAATCTGGGGATCCCCACACATGTTACTGACATTAAGTCCTTTACCCTCACAACAACCTTGAGCTGATGGGAAAAATAAACCAAAACACAAGATCATATGAGCTTCTCAAGTCCAATGTGGTAAAATGCAACTAATACTTACTAAAAGCTTATTCTCTTATTATAATTTACCTTCACTTTAGGGAAAATTGAGTCACAAAGCATAGAAATAAGTCCAATTTTTGTGTGTCCTGATCCATTCTTCTTTTTTTTTTTTAAAATCCTCACCCAAGGATATTTTTCCATTGATTTTTAGAGAGAGGGGAAGAGAGAGGGAAAGATAGAGAGCAATATCGATGTGAGAGAAACACATGCCCCGACCTGCACAGGCCCTAACCAGGGCGGGGGCCAGGGCGACGCCTGCAACCGAGGTATGTGCCCTGGACCAGAATCAAACCTGGGACCCTTCAGTCCGCAGGCCAACGATCTATCCACCGAGCCAAACCGGCTAGGGCTTTTTCCTGTCCATCTTTAAAGAGAGAGGAAGGGAGGGAGGGAAGGACAGACAGACATCGATGTGAGAGAGACACATCGATTGGTTGCCTCCCACAGGGGCCCGACCAAATCTGGGGGATAGAACCTGCAACCCAGGTACCTGCCCTTGATCAGGAATTGAACGTGTGACCCTTCAGTGTGAGGGCCGACACTCTAACCACTGAGCACACCGGAAGGAAAGAAATTGGTCAATTTTAATACACTCTTCAGTTTTTACTTTATCAATATAATGTTTTAATGTTACAGTATATTTCTTTCTGGGAGTTCTTATCACAGGCATTTTATGAATAGGGAAACTGAGGCACAGCGTGATTGAAATGTATTGCCTCTTGGTAGGCCTTATAAAATAGTGCCTAGATGGAAAACTCAGGAACCCCATTTTTCAAGGCAAAATTCTTTTTCCATTAGATTCCTACCCAAGTTTGAAACATTAAATCCACTCAAAGTTAATGAAATGAGGTGGTAGCTGCTGTAAAGTTTGCGTTCTTGATACCAACCACACTGTAGGGTCTGGAGTGACAGCCAGAGTAATCATGATCCTTGACCTCTGTAAAAGGGTTTCATCCTTTACAAGCATTCCACAACCGCTGTTACACTCTGTCCTCATCCAGGACATCAACAGTGTCCCCCTTTTACAGATGAAGGTGAGGAGGCCACAACTCAGAGACATTAAGCAACTTGTCGAAAATAGAGATAGCAAAGGGCAGAAGTAGGAATGAAACTCAGGTTTTCTGAATCCAAGGTCAAAGAGAACACAGTTTAGGGGAAAGAGGCGACCAGCTTTTTGCTGGGAGACTCAGAGGAGACGGAGGGAGGTGGGAAGTAGCCGGTGCCAGTAGCACATACGCCCGTGTGGCACAGAAAAGGAAACTGTCATCATTAGGCATTTCAAGTGATGACACAGAACTGCCCTGGGCACTGCAGGGATCTACAGGCTGCAGCTCCGAGCTCTGAGAGCCCGCAATCTAAGACAAACACACTTAGAAGAACAAAGATATACATAACACACAAACAGTATCTGCTGCAGTAAATCAACCACAGTGATCTACCACGAGGGTAGAAAGGCATTTCTATCACGCACTGGGGTGGGCAAGGGCAGGTTTACAGTTGTAAGTATGTGAAACACAGAGTTTATCCTTGTATTATCATTTACTAATTTGTAATTGTTCATGTGAACAACTGTAAGCCTACTGCTGCCAACCCCTGTATATGGCCAGGTAAGTTTGGAATGTGGAAAATACAAGTTCTTAAATGAAAAGAGGAGAGATACAGAAAAGCAAGCCAGGGAAGAAACATACACACACACACCAAGCCAGGAAGGGTTTTTAAAGGAACATTAATTTTAGATGTTCTTTCTCTCTCTCTCTCTCTCTCTCTTTTAAATTTCAGAAGCAATGGAGTAGCTGTGTTGCATCAAGAGCTGAGCTGGGAGAGGGAGATTTGGAACAGAAACTTATCCTAGGCCTATGGAACAATTATAAAGATGGGTTGGAAGTGGGGCAGCGGGCAGTGTCAGTGGACAAAGAAGGCTTTGAGCAAGTGGAAATTCAAGAGAGATTACAACCTGTCTTGACTCCTAGACTGTGCCTAAGTGTTTCCACCCCAAGGCTTTCAGAAAGCTCACGCTCTCCCTATTCCAGCAACAGAAGAATCTCCGCATTGTGAAAGCCCCTCGGCAGCAGATGAAGAAGGCAAACAGTGCTGCGGTAAAGGAGATAGCGGATAGGGACCTCGGAGACAGCGGGCAAGCAGTCCCCAGCCATCTATCCACATCTCCCCAGATACTACCGTCACAGCAGCTCCTAGTGCAAAACCCATGTATCTGGACCCACCAATTGGGAAGGAATTTCCAGTTGGCTTCATCAAACCCAAATCGGCCTGTTGAGTTTCGGGTCAGGGATTAGATTCTTTTCTTCAATATATATATATTTTATTGATTTTTTACAGAGAGGAAGGGAGAGGAATAGAGAGGTAGAAACATCATGAGGGAGAAACATCGATCAGCTGCCTCCTGCACACCTCCTACTGGGGCTGTGCCCGCAACCCAGATACATGCCCTCAACCGGAATCGAACCTGGGACCCTTCAGTCCGCAGGCCGACGCTCTATCCACTCAGCCAAATAGGTTAGGGCAGGGATTAGATTCTTAATGTAGGAATTATGTTGAGCTCTCTGGCACAGAAACATTTCCCAGTATACCAACTCAGACTCCAGCCAGGTAGAGAGACCTGTTTGCCTGTTAATTGTGTTTACTCAAGTTGTCCTCTCTGACTCTAATTAATCAGAGAAGCTGCAGCCCAGAACCGCTGGGAGACGGGAGGGAACGAATAAGAATATGCATACAGAGTCCCTATATGCTGGATTCTGGCTCTTTGCAAAACACAGGGTCCTTGGAGGGTAAGTGCTGGCTCGAACCATGACAATTTGAGCCCCGAGCCAAAGGCTAGGAACTCCAGACTTTCAGCAGAAGAAGCTGCTCACCCTGGTTTCCACGTTGACACAAGTATTAAGACGTGCCTGGGTGGTATGAAAATTTGAGGGGTTTTTAATGTAATGACTTTTAATTATTTTGGGGGGGCCAACATTTGTCCGTCTGCCATTTCACAACGTGCCATCCTCTGCTCTAACCGCTCTACATGTATCAACACATTCCATACAACCAGCTGAGCCGATACTATGGCTATTTTGCTCATCCGGATGAGAAGTGGACACAGAGAGGTCAGGTGACTTAACCAAAGTCACACAGCTCCTTGATGAAGGCATCAGGTCCATTGGTGATAGGATCTATCACCGATGCTATTACCCTTTCTTTCTAAACGGGCAACTTTCAGCTCAGAAGGGCCCAACGTGCTGGTTAATTTATCAACAGCTAGAGAGTGGCCAGGAGCGAACCCCAAACTGGAATTTTCCTAACAACTTACCCTGCCGTCTCCACGTGCCCGGTGGCCTGCGCGCGTTCTCGGAACAACGGTACAAGACGAAGGTGACTGCTTTGTCCCAGAGCGTTGTTCCGATTCTCTTCAATTCCATCTCTTCTTCTTCCCTTCTAATCTGTATTCCTTATCCTAACTCATTTAACCTTTCATGACCCCCACTCTCCCTCCTGCCTGCCTCGGGGGTGAAACTAAGCCTGGACACCACCCAGCCCTCGGGGGCCGGGGAAGGAGATACAGCTGAGCCGCTCGGGAGCCTTGACCCCCGAGCCCGACATGCTTTGGACAAGTGACTCGCCATTGCTTCCGCGGGAACAGGAGGTGGAGGGAGAAGAAGGGGTAGATGTTAACTGAATGACTGAGGTGGACTCTCAAGCTGCTTAGATATGGACACAGTCACACTCATGTGTCCGTTTCTCAGTAACTGAAAGGGGTGGGGGGTGCCGAGAACGCCCTCTGAGTCTGGGGTCCTCTGCCCATTGCGCACACGCTCCTCCCGGCGGTCGGGGCGGCCTTCATCCCGGCGCCTCGGCCCTTCCAGGGGCCTCTGCGACCCCCTCCCGCGACCCACGGGCCGCGCCTCGCCTGTGCGGGGTTGGCCGTCAAGCGCCACACACCCTTCGTGCCGCCTCACACACCAGCCCGCGACCCGGCGGGGCCGCGGCTAGGTCGGGCCTCCCGCCGTGAGCGTGCGTAACGTGCCCCCGCAGCGTGACGCACGCGCCGCTCCTGGGCGGCTTGCGTGAGCCGGGCGGCTACGTGGGCTTCGGGGCCGGAGCGGCGCCGTGGGCGGAGTGCGGGCGGAAGTCGGCGTCCGCGGACCGCGATCGGGAAGGGAGGCGCGGCCGGGAGACCCGCGGGGAGGGCGCCGCCTCCTCCCCGCCCTGTCTGCTGAGGATGGAAGTGACGACAGCAGCCGGAGAGGTCACTTCCTGCTGGGGTGGATGAGGAGGAGCCGGCGACGCCGCGGAGGAGACCGGACCGAAGACGGACCTTGCCGGGGAGAGGTGAGTCCTGGCCTCGCCGCCCGACCCCTCCGATGGACCCCCCCGAGTCTCGGCGGGATCGGCCTCCCTGGGGTTGGGGATGCCCAGCGGGCCACGTCCCAACCCAGCTGGCCTCACCCAGGACGTGGGGGGGAGGCTCGGGGGAGGGAGGGCGCCCGGGTGCCTGTGCGGCGATGGGGGGACCCAGGGCAGCGTTCGTGCCACGGGGCTAGGGAGACCCTACCGGGAAGCCAGCGGAAAAGAGGCTGTGCGGGCCGCGAGCCGAGCCGGGAGCCGCAGCGCCAAACTCTGGGTGCTTCACTCTTCGGGGTGCTTCACTCTTGGGGGGTGGTCGGCGTCCGAGGCAGGGCGCGAGGGGCCTCGGTGGGGTTCGCAGAGCTGGAACGAGTGGCCCTCCTTGGACAGGGGCCTCGGAGTGAATGTATGAAACTCTGCAGAGGCGCCTCGGGGCTCCTGGGAGGGGAACCTTTATGGGGGAGACCGGGGGGGGGGGGGGCGGATCGGGAGCTGGGGTGTCAGGACAGAGCTCCCTGGTCCAGATACTGTTGCATCGGGGTTGGGGCCCGAGTCTCGGAGGTGGAAGGCCATTGCTGTGGCCGGATAGAGGCCCTGCGACCCGACGGAGCCACCCCGGAGGAGCCGGAGTCGGAATCCAGGGCAGCTTCCTGCAGCCGCGGGGAAATTCGTGTTTTTCCTCCCTCATTGTCACGGAGATGGAAGCAGCTGGAGAGGAAGCGCCTGCCTGGGCTCCGAGGCCTTGTGATTGTGTATCGTGTGTCTGTGGCTGCGTGTCCCTGTTTTCTTCCTTTGGGGTGCTTATGTCATCCTCTTTCCCTCGCCTGACAGACTGAAACTTGCCGGTTTTCTTAATGTGTATGGCGTGGGGGGGAGAATTCAAAGGATCTAGAGGAATCCTGGGTTGGGTGAGATTTCCAAGACTGGGAATTGGTCCCCACGCCACCCTGAGGCCATGGAGGCACCTCCATTTCCTCCAGGCTCCCGCGGAGGTGGGTGCTGAGGGCCTGTCATCCACCCTGGGGAGCAGGGAGGGTAGAGCTGCCCCTCCTGCCCACATCTCTCTCTCTCTCTCTCTCTCTCTCTCTCTCTCTCTCTCTCTCTCTCTCTCTGGCAGTTTCACCCTCCCCTTCTTTTTGCGAAAGGATTGACTGATACAAAGCTACGTGCTGCCAGGAACAGGAAATGCATGGAGGTGCTGGGAATCTGGATGGAGTGAATTCAGATCACACTAAGACTCCCTCCACCTTTTGGACAAAGGCTCTCAGAAATGCTTGTGTTCCCCCCCCCCCCCCCCCCCCCCCGCTTTCTATTAAAGGGAGAAAATGTAATTTTTTTCTGTCAAAAAGATTTTGGTATTGTGTGTGTTTCTTGTATAGAGTAACTGTACACACACTGTGTTTACTCTGTATCCGGGAGTGTTTTCCAAGGAGGAGGGGGCAGTTTCTGACTGGGAGTTTTCCTTCTCCCATCTCACATAATTCAGTAAAATAAATCAAAATCAGATGTTCTTTCTTGAGTGGCAATCAGTTGGATTTGGATTTTTTTTTCTTCTTCACTCTTCTTTAAACTGGTACATCTGGGTGAGCTCAAGCGTGTATATCTTGGCATCTGGACCTGTCCAGCAATAGAAGACAAACTGACTTATTTTGGCTGCCTCTTTGGACCCATTTATCTGGTACCCTTACTTTCCAAAGGGCTGATGAGGAGGAAGAAAGCAAATATTAAAGGGAGTGTTTCCCCTAGGTAGTTTAAAGTCAGGTGAGAGATAATCACGGCCTTTGAAGCTGATGACCTGAGGACCATCATTTGATGACTTGAAGATTAGCAGTTTGGAGGGGACATGTTTGACAGAAAGAGGATTACATAAGGAGGAAAAGATAAAGAAAGGAAGTTTGGTGGAAGGCTGTGCCAGAAATCTTAGGAAGATAATAAAAAGTAATTGATGTGGCTTTATATTCTCTCAGCAGGAGGGCGAAAATGAAAGCGGGCTGTAGCATCGTGGAAAAGCCAGAAGGAGGTGGAGGTGAGCAGAAGTGAATCATCTCTGGTCTACTTGGAATGTCCCTCCATGGTTCTTTTTCTCTCCACTTGGGCTCTGTCCACAAATGCCAGGCCATGACTGACAGCCTCTTGACTGGGTGGATCCTGCTAGGACAGTTGTAGGCTTGTTTCCTATGTTTGTATATCTAACATGTCTGGTCACAACATTTTTATCCCAAGCTTTAGAATCTCTCTGTTAGAGAGACAGTTCTAATCTTGGGGGTAAGGGTTTTCAGCTGTATTTCCCTAAAACATTCATTTATTTTTCCTATTTGTTCCTTTTGGAACTTTCCTGCCTTCATAGAAAGTAAGTTAAGTAATGTATGGAAGGGTAAGAGATTAGGACACCTGGGTGCTGCTACCCAGCTCTTATCAGATTTGGTGATTGTCATAAGGAAAGATAACCTCTCTCTGCTTTCCTCTCCCCAGCTGACCGAAGGGGTGTTTATAGTATACTTGCACAGCACTCTAGAGATTCTGAGCATTGGAATGTGAAGTCAGAGATACTGGAATGTATGTACCTAGCTCCTGACAACTTTGATCTTGCCCTTTTCACATTAAAGGGTATCAGTTTCCTGATTGGGCCTATAAAACAGAGTCATCCCCAGGCTCCCGGCAGATCCAGCTGTGGCACTTCATCCTGGAGTTGCTGCAGAAGGAAGAGTTCCGCCATGTCATCGCCTGGCAGCAGGGAGAGTACGGGGAGTTTGTCATCAAGGATCCAGACGAGGTGGCCCGCCTCTGGGGTCGCAGGAAGTGCAAACCACAGATGAATTATGACAAGCTGAGCCGGGCCCTCAGGTAACAGAAAGGATCCCCAAATCCATGCTGTCAGTAGGTTGAAAGGAGACTAAGCAGTGTGATGAGTGTTAGGTAAAAAGAGTATCAGGTGACAAGAGACTATGTTACCTAAGTAAGTAATGTGTAGTTTTCAACTGGGAGTAGAAGAGCTGTTGAGTCTGAGTAGCAGAGGCACAAAAGGAGAAAAGGCATGTCTTTGGTTATATGCAGGAAGGAATTCCAATGTTGGCACTGGCTTCTGAAAGACACTGATTCTGTTCTGTAGTGGGTGAGAGTGTGTGGTAAAATGTGGACTGTAGCTCATTTATAATTCAAAAGATTTAGTTTAGACTTTCCCTATTGGAAATCTATTAGAATTTCTCTTCTTTAGGTTTTTCTGGAAGAACCTAGAAAAAGAGTGAAGCAAACTCATAGGAGGATTCACTGAATGGTACTGACCTAGCTACAGTATTTAAGAACCATATCTGTGAGTTCAGTTGTCAGTCCATTAGTTGCTCCAACATGTCCAAGATTGATCTATAAGTTTTCTTAGCTTCTCTTTTCCACTTGTCAGTCTTTATATTTCATAACCCTTAGCCCTCCAGGGGCCAGAAGGCAGTTTATGACCTGTGCTAATGAACAGACGCGAGGCTAAAGGTTCCGGATACATTGAAGCTCCCTGAATGAAGTTTTTTCATTCTTAGTGACCCTGAATGTAAAATGTGGGTGGCAGCTTTGCTGGAACCTCTCACATCACCTTTAAAAGTGAAGCAGACCAAGTTCGGTGCTGTTTTCCAGATCAGGCTATACCATTGTTTGACCTGCCACCATAAAACAGTTCCACATTCCTTCATCTGTGGCCTCTAGACTAGCCACATCAGGTGTCCCAAGATACTTGTCTGGCCCCAGCTGGGTAAGGCAGAAAAGAGAAACTAGCTTAGTGACATATAGTGGAACAGGAAGGAAATGTACTATTGGGTTGAAGCTAGAGAGAGATGGAAACGAAAGGTGGTTGGGGCTAGGATAGGTGTTCAGGATCTTAAAATGAGATTGTTTTTGTAAAGCTCTGGCCAATGTTCAGAACTCAGTTGAAAATTGAATGAAAAGTAAGCTCCTAGGTCTCCCAACCCTAACCTTAGGGGCAAATCAGCAAAAGAATGATAGTGATGTTTGCAAGTAATACTTAGAACAAGAATTGTTGCTCTTAGCGATTACCTAAGTGTACTAACCGTCCGTAGGTGGAAGATAGATTGACATGCATTTCTGTTTTTACAGATACTATTACAACAAGAGGATCCTTCATAAAACAAAAGGGAAAAGGTTTACTTATAAATTTAACTTTAACAAGCTGGTGACGCCCAACTACCCGTTCATCAACATTCGGTCAAATGGTAAGATGCAAAGTCTCTTGGTGGGGAAAGAATTTTGAGTTGAAAAGGAACCCTGAAAACCCAGGACTAAGACTGGCATGTTTTAAGAGGTTTTCAGAAACACTAAAATAATGTGACTCCTTGAATTGCCTCTGTTCTTGCTCAGGTGTTTCCATTCATCTCGTACCAAGAGTGATAAGCTCTGCAGCATCAAGATAAATGGGTTTGGTTTGTTGTTTTGGTTCCCTTTTTTGCATATTTGTAATTTCCTAGATACTGTTACTCTATCTTCTTTAGGAATGATGTTCTGTAGGTTTGTGTTGATCTTTAAGTTCAGGACTCGGAGCTTTAACATTCTACCCAGGGGCTCTTTCATAGATAAGAACCTGTTCCTACAAGCACTTCCGATTTTCTATGAAACTACCAAACTCTCCCTTATCAAGTGAATATCATCAAAACCACAGCATCCTTGATCACAGAAGGGGATGTTCATATGTTTACAGTAAAAAGCAGTGTCTTTGATCTGTACCAACAGCACCTCAGAACAAGACTTGGGGGTTAGTTGACCTTCTCTCAAGTGCAGCAAGGTTTCCCCTCTAGGATATCTGGTGACAGCTTTTCACCACAGCTCTTCACAGAGGTTTCGGGTCTGCCTCTCTCAAAGCAGAAAGCACTCTCTTATAAGAGTGCGTTTGTTTGTTGGTGCAAATCGTAACCCTGCCCAATAAAACATTGTATTAACCAGTTTCTAACCAGCCATCAGTACAGTCTTTGTGGCATTGTATGTTAAGGCAAAGAAATCTAATTGTGATTCTGCAATATTGCAACTTCTCACAGAAAAGTTGGAAACAACCTGAAAAATTAGAACGGGGGTGTGGCTGAGAGAATATAAAGCTGAGATCCATTGCAGATACCTAATTACTATACACAACAAGTTAGAGCAGTTTTAGCTTGATGCAGCTATCATTACATTTCCATCTTACAGCCACTCCCTCCTGTCCCTGGGGCATACATTTAAAAAAAAAGTGGTATTGGAATGTATCTCTCTAATTACAACCTGTTTTCTTTCCTTGTGCCTGAGGGAGAGGCGTTAGGAAATCAAACCTGTTCTAGCCACTGGAATTCCATTTCCTCTATTCACTCTTGCTCCTTCCTTGTACATCTAGAGTAATTGGGACTCTAAGTAGGCATACCAGCAATTTTGAAGAAGGTGTTGGTGTTCACTGCCATACCACTCCCCCAAAAAGGGCTTTAATGGTCTTGTTCTTCTGTCTTGCACCCATTCTTGTCTGTTGAAAACTCAGAAGTCTAGCCATTGGACAACCTGGAATGGGGCATCCATCAGCCCTTGGGAGTAATATGCTTTTCCAAGGCAAGGAAATCTGGAGTCTCACTTTGTGAAGACTCTGGTCTAGAGACCTAACAGTAGTAGCTTGGCACAACTCATTCTGCCTGAAGGCAATGGAACCAACATTGACCCTCAGCTAAGCTCCAAGATCCTAATCAGGGAAGTCACAGGAAAAGCAGAGCAGTGTGTATTTCCTTTAGGCACACTGCGGGGTTGCTTACTCCTGGATACGGATAGCTCCAAAGAACATCATTTGTTCACAGAGACCTTTTACCCAGATAGACCAAATGTTGTTTCAGCTTAACTTTTTATGACAAAAGAAATACAACATTTATTGAACATACATCTACTTAACAAAGGTACCTTAGTGTTTAGTGAATTATTTCATTCAACTCTGCTAGTTGGGTAAAGTATATGTCTCGGTATCATTTTATAAATGATAAAATTAAGGATGACATCAGTCAAAGATTGATCAGGATGGTTTGAATACAGTTAGCTGTTGAACAGCTTCTTAGGAAACAACACCTGAGAAATAGAGCTACTGAAATTCAGTTCTTATTTACTAAATCAACCATTCTTCCTCTGGATTGAGATTCATTCATTTAGTCAACACATAATGTATTAAACCCTAGAGACCAAAAAATAAAAATTAGGGAGAGGCACTCTTTCCTCGAGGAACTTATAGTTTATCAGGAGAGATAAGATATAGTAGGTTTAATACAATTCAGAGTGTGGAATGTGATAAGCACTCTAAGAAGTGGGGCTGTATGGATTTAGATCTTGGAGGCCAGAGAGATCATGTCTAAATGGTAGGTTGATATAGTTGGCCTGTTTTGATCTGTGTGTTTTTAAGCATGAGGCAATACGTGCTGGTTGTAACATATCCAAATAATACAGAAGTTCATAGAGTAAAAGTAAAGTGAATGTTCTCCCTTCCCCACAATCTTACTCTTAACAGTTTAGGGGAAAGTACTTAACATTTGAATAGTATTGAAAATACTTCTACATATAGTATCTCATTTTTTACCATTAAAAGTGTCTTGTAAAATATTAAATATATCTTAAATATTTACTTGCATAATAAACAAAAGAGAGATACAGAAGATACTAGTAAAAGTGATAACCCCAAAAGAATTTAAAAAAAAAAGATAGCCTGTCAGAGTGTGGGGGCAGGACATACCAGTTCAAGGATGGACTTGAGCCCTCACTCTATGCCTCCCACCACCACCCCAAGTTCTTTATATATACCTTTATTTTAGAAAACTTTAAACCTACAGAAAAATTGGTAAAACAGTAAACAGCCACATGTTTAAGTCTTGAGATTAAGTTGTGAACATCATGACACTTCGCGCCCATATACTTCAGCGTGGATCTCCCAGGTACAAGGACTGGGAGATTCACCTCCATAACCACAGTAATATTACAACTCCCCAGGAAGTTTAACATTGCTCTAATACTATTATCTAATATATGGTCCATATTCAAATGATATATGCCTTTTAAAAGTTATTACTTTTGAACCATGATTATCATCTAATAAATTACTTATTTTAAAAAATACGTATATGCCTTTTGCTATGAGCTGATCTATTTTAAGATAAAATTATTTAGGAGGACAGGACCTTCTACATTATGCTTAATGTTATTCAGTCCTTCAGAACACATAAAAGTGGGGATTTTTTTACTTTTGATTTGATGTGCTCTTATTTTAAAAATCAAGATAGAAAAGACTCAAAAAGAATGGAATTTTAGCCACTGTTATAGACTGGAAGAAGAGAAACTTTTGGCCTGGGACCCTTGTGACTCTACTCAAACCTAATTGTAAGATTCAATCAGTGGCTGTAGGGAAAACAGTCCTGTATTTTCTGTGAAGCATCAGTTTGGGAAGTGCTGCTCTGGCAGAGTATTACTTAGTCACATGTGCCTAGAAAGCTAGTCTTGTACACACCAGCAGACTCCAGAGTCATATCTGAGGATGACTCCATTATACAAATAGCAGAAGGCAACTGTTTGGAAGTGATGCCTCACCACACTGTCTTATGTGCTTTTTTGTTTCTTCTACATCACCATACTTTTACTTATTTGGATTTTTCTTACCTTTTTCTTTGCCCTTTTTTCCGTCTCCCTTATCTCTGTGTCAGAATGAAAAGAGCCCTCCTGACATCTGCAGTGATAGATATCGATAATTTTCTCTGGGAACCCAAAGGGTCTCTGAGGCCTTGACTTGCAACCCCTTCCTTATGCCCTTTTTTATCAGAAGGGCCTTTTGGGGAGTTGAGAACTTATATGAGTGTCTGAAGTTGACATGTCTAGCATGCTGTTGGTAGCTTAGAGCTTCACATTTTAGCAGGTAGCCTTGGTAGAGTGAGTATTAGGTCCTGGATTTCACCCAGTCTTCTCCATGCTTGTAAAGTATTGAAAGCAGGTTTGGAATGGAGATCATTATATAAATTTGTTAGAGAAATATAGATTTAGAGAGATTGAAACATTTAAATTTCTATAAAGTGGTTATTGTATATCAGAAATGATAAAACATATACCATAAGAACTTAATAAACATGGCTTTTGTTTTAAAATCTGTTTTTATTCTTAAAATATGCCTTGTTTGTGCCCATATATGTTAGGTGCAGGGTCTTTGGTCTTTTTTGTTGTTGTTAATCCTCACCAAGGAGATTTTTCCATTGATTTTTAGAGAGAGTGGAAGGGAAGGGGAGAGATGGAGAGCAAGGAACATTGATGTGAGAGAGACACATTAATTGGTTACCTCCTGCACGTGCCCCGACCAGGGTCCGGGATTGAGCTTGCAACTGAGGTACATGCCCTTGACTGGAATCGAACCCTGGACCCCTTCGGTCTGTAGGCCAACGATCTATCAACTGAGCCAAACCAGCTAGGGCAGTGGTCGGCAAACTGCGGCTCGCGAGCCACATGCGGCTCTTTGGCCCCTTGAGTGTGGCTCTTCCACAAAATACCACGTGCGGGCGCGCACGTACTGTGCAATTGAAACTTCGTGGCCCATGCGCAGAAGTCGGTATTTTGTGGCAGAGCCACACTCAAGGGGCCAAAGAGCCGCGTGTGGCTCGCGAGCCGCAGTTTGCCGACCACTGAGCTAGGGCATCTTTGGTCTTTTAATGCATTGCTTTACATGAATGTAATTTTTAATTTTGTTTGTGGATTTATTTTTTTTATTTATTTTTTTTTTTTGGTTTGGTGTGTTTGCTTGCTTTATAGATAGGGCCAAAATTGTGAAAATAAGAAAAAACTATTTGCAAAGCTGAGAATTAAAGCAGGTGATATACACACAGTATTTAGAGTTGCAGAGGGGAAGGCTCTTGTATCCATTCATTCATTCAACTAATAGTTATTGAGCACTTACTCATTGTTAAGCCCCAAACTGCTGGAAATGTAGTTGTGAACAATTGGAAGTCCCTGCCTTTGTGGAATTTATGTTTTAGAACACAGATAAACAGGTAAATCATATTTCAGATAGCAGAGCGTACTGTGAAGATAACGTGAGTAAGAGGCTACAGAAAGATGGCAACTAAATTGAGAAGAGGAGGCTAAGCAGTAGTTACTAGGGAGACAGGGAGCCAAGGGAATCGGTCCAGCTGGAGTGTTTCCTGTTGTTCCTAAACATCCTGTACTTGTTTAGCGTAAGTAAAAGTGATGATCATGAATTACCTTTTGTTTTTTCTTCCTCCACAGGTGTGGTTCCCCAGAGTGCACCACCGGTTCCAACAGCCTCTTCCCGGTTCCATTTCCCACCTCTGGACACTCATTCTCCAACTAGTGACGTGCAGCCGGGGCGGTTCTCTGCTAGCTCCCTAGCTGCTGGCCAGGAGTTGAGCAATGGCACAGAGAGAAAGGCGGAGCTTTCGGAGCTGGAGGACGGCTCCACCGCTGACTGGCGCCGGGGTGTGGATCTCATGTCCTCCCGGAATGCTGTTGGTGGAGGAGGGATTGGCCATCAGAAACGCAAGCCTGACATCATGCTCCCTCTGTTCAGTAGGCCAGGGATCTACCCTGACCCCCATAGTCCCTTTGCTGTCTCTCCAATCCCTGGCCGAGGAGGTGTCCTTAATGTTCCCATTTCACCAGCCCTCTCCCTGACTCCCACTATCTTCTCCTATAGCCCTTCACCAGGCCTGAGCCCTTTCACCAGCAGCAGTTGCTTTTCCTTCAACCCTGAGGAAATGAAACACTACCTTCATTCTCAAGCCTGTTCTGTGTTCAACTACCATCTGAGTCCCCGGACATTTCCCCGTTACCCAGGGCTCATGGTTCCACCACTGCAGTGCCAAATGCATCCTGAAGAGTCAACCCAGTTTTCTATCAAGCTGCAGCCCCCACCAGTTGGGCGCAAGAACCGGGAGAGGGTAGAGAGCAGGGAGGAGTCAGCACCTGTCACTGTTCCCACCATGGCGCCTGTGCCCCCAAGAATTAAGGTAGAGCCAACCTCTGAAAAGGATCCTGAGAGTCTCAGGCAGTCAGCCCAAGAGAAGGAGGAGCACTCTCAAGAGGGCACTGTGCCAAGCAGGACCATAGAGGAGGAAAAAGGCACCATCTTTGCCCGCCCAGAGGCACCACCTGTCTGGCCCTCTGTACCCAGTAGCACACCAAGTGAAGAACCCCTAGAAGTGACTGAAGACAGTGAAGATAGGCCTAGCAAAGAGCCCAGTGCGCCTGAGAAGAAAGAAGATGCCCTGATGCCCCCCAAGCTTCGATTGAAGCGGCGCTGGAACGACGACCCTGAAGCCCGAGAGCTGAGAAAGGATGGCAAGTTCCTCTGGAATGGGTCAGGACCACAGGGCTTGGCGACGGCAGCTGCTGATGCTTAGAACTGCAAGTGGATTGAGAGCTGTTTATACTATAATCATATACATGTATTTATGTAGCAAGATTTTGGGGCTGGGGGGAGGGCATTAGCTGGTTTGATCATTCTAGGAGCATAGACTTGTATTTTTATGTTTGGGGAATGGGATTGGGCATCTTCTGTTGTAAATTAGGTGAGATATGAACACACTTTTTTTCCTGGTGAGGAGGACACAGGAAGGGTATTGAACTGAAAGGAGAAAGGGCCTCTATTTCCTATTGAGGCTAATACTTTCTGAACAAACTCCCAAAGGGCCAAGACACTGTTTGGTCCTATGATGTTCAGGTTCCAGACTTCTTTCTTTTCTACTGTATTTATATATAGGAAAGCCATTAATGAGTTTATTTTGCTCTGAGAGTTACATATAAAGGGGGAAGGGCATGGTTGGGAGGCGAAAGACCATTAATGCTCAGTATTTGCCTGAGATGTTTCTTTGTAATTATTTCAGGGGGAGAATAAGATATTCTCATCTTACTGGGGTAGGGCGATTGGGGTGTTCAGATGTTGCTTTTTTCTTTTTTCCTTTGTTGTTTGGCATTTTTTTCTTTTCCTCTAAAAAATGTTTTCAGGAAACATGAAACATACTGCCAGTTAGAGTAGAGCAGGCACTGAGCCTGGCCGCATGGTTGAGACAGGAAGCCCTGCTGTGAATTTCTTGGACTTTTCACCTTCACCTATTAAGAAGCCATGAGGAGTAGTAAACTCTTATTCAGGGAAGAATGAAGAGGGCAGGAGGAAGTAACCCAACGCCTTTACAAACAAAACACAAAAATATCCTTTATTTTTCCTTTTCCATCATGGGTCTGGGGAGCCAAACCAGAAAAGGCTGTAGCGAGTTCACTGAAAGGCATGACACTGGTAAAGACGTGTTTTTGTTGTCTGGCTCTGTTATCATTTTCTTCAGCCAAGCCTTAACAGTGAACATACTTTAACATGATACGGGTCTGTCAAAATAAACCTATAAAAGGACATGAACAACTTTTCAGATAACCCAAGAATTTTGAAGCATGATTAAAGTTTGAGCTAATATTTAGTCATCCTTTCTAGATGTTATTGGGATGGATAGTAAAAAGGCAGGATTATAGGAATGAAAGACAGATGATACCTGGAAATGCAGAAGGTAGCTGGGGGTACAAGTGGAGGTTTATTGAATCTGAAGGAATAGTTAGATAAAGAAAGCAACCAGATGTCAAAAGGCCTGATATGAATGAAAGTTGGTGTTTGTCCCGTTGTGGCATTACCATTCTTGCCATACCATTTCCCTAGCCCAGTGGTCGGCAAACCGTGGCTCGCGAGCCCCATGCGGCTCTTCGGCCCTGTGGCATGGGCCACGAAGTTTCATTCGCACTGTACGTGCACGCCCGCACGTGGTATTTTGTGGAAGAGCCACACTCAAGGGGCCAGTTTGCCGACCACTGCCCTAGCCCATTCTAATACTCATGATCAATTGACTGCCCTATATGAGACTCCAGTTTACAGACAATGAGGAATTGTTCCATCAACTTCAAAGGAATGGGGAAGTACTGATTTTCTAGGAAGGGAAAGGAACCTGGACTAGAGGCAGAGAGAGAAGCCACAGCCAGCTCTGAATGCATGTGCCCATGTAACTAGTATGTGGAAACACCTAACTGTGGCTCAAAACACCTGGCAGCAGGGGGAGAAGGAACTCCATATCGGATAGGGGCAAGGAGTGGGCACAGAGATGCTGTCGAGGAATGGAGAAATTCCTGACTCCACCTTTACCTACGTGAGCTCTTCTAAGAAGCATTGGAGGGTTGTCTTTCAACGTTGGCAGGTGGTGGTTCTTTTTTAAAGGAAAGCATGCATGAGGGGCTCAGGGAAGGTTAGAGCAGGTGAGTGAGTTACTAGGTGGTTCGGGATGATGAGTCCATCATGCAGATTTTTGGGGTAAGTGCCCTCCCCCTTGTTTAATTCAAATTCCATGAGTAACCTGTCTTTCCCTGGGAAAGGGACTGACGGAGCAGTCCCTAAGGACTCAGGCTTTGGTCAGGCTGCATAGGGCTCCCTGTTCAGGGTATCTTTGGTTGGTTATGTTTTTGTCAGTTACTTTCTCTGCACCTCAACTTACCTCTAATCGGAAAGCAAGCCCGGGCATGTGGAGGAGGTATGTCTTCTTGTCATTGCCCAATCTAACCAGGGAGGCTGGCTGGCCACCCTCCCTGTCCACTAGAGGGGAGAGCCAGCAGGTATCGGTATTAACTCAGGAATAGAAACATGAGGCCTTTAAATAAGAGGGAAAGAAATCCATGTTGCATACCTGTGACCCCCTAGAACCCAAGTGCCAGAATTCCTAGATGCTGCTTCTGTTTGAACAAAAAGTCACTGCTTTTACACTTGAAAAAAAAAAAAAAAAAACACTCAAAAAATGTTCAAGTCCATGAAAATGTTTTTGGCTTTAAGAAATTATTTGGTGTTTAACTGTTTCCTTTGATTGCCATTCCACCAGTAAATTGTTGGTCAGTTTGCACTGCACACTGGGGTTGGGGTGGAGGGGAGGGTCCTTTATAATAGAGCCAAACTTGGGCTTGCTCAGGAAGTGGACCAGGGAATGTGGAGGTGGGTCATTCCTGGGGTGAAGGGGTGGGAGTTACTTTTTCTCCCCCCAGCCTGCTCCTGGCAGCACCTGTCACCAGCCTGGCACAAAGCCAGCCTTTACTTTTCTGTGAGCATCTTATCACTGTCCAACAGCAGATAGAAAAAAGGGGGGTGAAACCAGACCTATTTTCTCCCTCAGTTTTTCTGAATTTTGCTGTGCCAAATGTTTAAAACTTTACAAATATGAATCTTGAAGTCTTATTAAGAATTTGTGCAGACAATTTGCTTTTTTTTTTGACTATTGAAAAGAGAGAATAGTAGAGGTCAATCTTAAACAATTCACCAATCCCTTCACCCCCACATTTTCAAGCTGCACTGCATTAAACCCAACTCACTAACAGGGAATTACTGCACCCTAGTCCTCCATGGGCCAAGAAACTCAGAAGCATTAAAAATATAGTTGTATTTCACTTCTCACCAAGTGGGTAGAGTGCGTTGGCTATTTGTCCCCCTTTTTTAAAAAATTTCCCTAATTATGTTTGTGCTTTTTGTTTTATAAACAGTAAAGAAATTTTAATTCTGTTAAAGAGAACTTTGATCCAGTCTTTTAAGAACTGTTCCATTTTTAGTTACTTGTTGAAAAAAAAAAAAGTTACCGTTTAATTTGTTTTTAAATATTTAGGCATTATTTGAGTTATAAAATTGTGATGCAGGGAATTGTGAGATATTCACATGTGAAAAATGACTTCACTAGTTAGCTTAAGCAGAATAAAGTGTGTATATGTACATAAAATGTAAGTAATCTTAACTCCATTGTGCAGTGCCTTTTAGATGTTCCGCTTTCTATAAAGTCTTCAAATTTTTGCATATATATTATATATATGATGTAATGTTATAGAAATATATGTATAATATACATATTTTTTTCCAGGGGTATCTGATAGCTCTGTATTTTGTTATGGAAGTTGAAAGAAAAAAGTATTTTACCTCAGAAATTAAATAAAAAAATACTTTTAAATACGGAGTGTTGTTGTCGTTGACACACTAAGCCAGGGTGTTTAAGCCAGAGGTTTTGCAGAGTCTGCTTTTATTCCTTTGATATAGGCACCAGCATATCGTGAGAAGATAGGTCTCCTAATAGTTCTGAAGTGCCAGTTTTCTTGAGTCAATGGCTACCGCTAGGTAGAGGGCACAGAAGCCTGGGACACAAGTGAGGAGGGAAGTTTCTACCTCTAGATTGAGGATGCATTGAGAGCACATGCACAGCCAGCCACAACAGGCCGCACTTTGTATGGTTCTATAGCATGTCCAGAGCAGACAAATCCATAGAGATAGGATATAGATTAGTGGTTGCCAAGAAGAGTGGAGAGTGATGCCGATGGGTTACATTTTTGTTTGGGAGATGATGAAAATGTTCTGGAATTAGTGGTGATAGTTGTACAATTTGGATAAGTGAAACACACTGAATTACAATCACTCTAAAGTGAACTTTATGGTGTGTGAATAATATCAGTAAAGGTGGTTTTGGTGGTGGTGGTGGTTTAAGTACATGGCAAGCCAGTAGAGGACAGGAATCCAGAGGGTAGGAGGAGATCTTGGTGGGGTACTGAACATCACAGAACACACCCTAAGAAAAATGCTGCCAGACCGAGTAACCTCATTTCATCCTGGAGATAGTGACCTAAAGATCCTAACGTTTGTAGAATCAAAGCCAGGTGTTCATTTGACTTCCATGTAAGAGTCCTGTGGGTCAGGAAGGCTGGAATTGAGGGCGAATCTGAAGAAGACAACCAGGACGGATTACGGAGGGTCTGAGGAGATGCCAGAGTTTACATTTTATCTCACTAGTAATGGGCATCCCCAATATTTTGCAGAAGCGTTTGGGGTAGGCCAATGAACACGAAGGCCACAGCCCTGAGAAACTGTAACCAGCCTGTTAATGTCTGCTCAAGAAGACTATTCAACTCATTAAAGTGGGGAAAAGTGAAGTGACCAGGCTGACGGGTTGATTCTCTGAAGCAGACCAAGTCCAGCTCAGAATGGGCTTGGATGGAGACCCTCCTGCTAAGAAAACTTCCTGCTTCTTTCCCTTTCTCATGCCACTGAAAGCGAAAGGAGACTTCCGTTAGAAGCGAAATTGCATCTAGTTTTGAGATCAGATCCCAGGTATCTGTTTCTGCCACCCTCTGTTGACCGCTCATTGCATAGAATTGGATGATAATGATTCATATTCAGAGCCTGGGAGTGAGGGTGGCCAGAAGGGAAGAAGTGGTGAGGGAACAGATGGGGTCTGAGGGTGCGAACACTGTATGGGGACAGAGGGTGATAGGAAAGGGTGTCTCAGAGCCTGTCAAGATAAGTGAGTAGGGAATACAGCTTTAAGTGGCTCCCTATTTACAGTCCTTGGTGTAGTTTAGAAGGCCCTTCATAATCTGGCCCCTTAATCACACACAGGTACATGCGCATACACTCCCACCCCACACATTGCCAAAGTGACTGCAGCCCCAACATCCAGTGAACAGAGAGCATTTGCCACGTGTCGGGCACAATTAAGGGCGTCTCATTAACTCATTTAATCCTCATGAGGAGAACAATGAGTCACAGAGACATTAACTGATATGAACAGGGTTCAAGCCCCAGAACCGGTGCCTCAATTATCTGCCATAAATCCTCTTGACCCTGCTGAACTGCTGCTGATCTGGTCTCTCTCACTGCCTGGACCACCCTTTTTCCTCCACTTCCCGCAGCCCATTGCATCTTATCCTTCAGAATCCCACTCAGGTCATCGCCTCCGGGGGCCTTTCCTGGGCACTCTTCTGCGTTGTGCCACAGCCCATGTTGACCTCTGCACCATCGCCCTTCCATGCTGTTGTTAATGCTCTACTGGTCCAGCTTGGTCACAGGGTAGCTGAAAGGCTGGCACAGGGTCAGCACATCTTTCTCTAGTACCCAGCACATTGTCTGGAGCCAAGGATGTTTGATAACAGTTTGTTGGATGGATGGGTGACAGATATACAAAGGAAGTTTGATTGTTGGGATAGAGGATGCAGGTTTGGAATATGAAGACAGGAGAAGGCCTGCTGTCTCAGACTTCACTCCCCCCCAACCCCCCCAGCACCCCGACACTTCTTGTTGTGGCTTCTGCTCCCCTCCTCTCACAGGAGCTGGGTGTTAACTCCCTGAGGAAGGGAGATAAACTGTAATCCCATAGTCCCACCCCTGCCATTCTACTGGCTATTACATAGGCAATTTACAGAAGTTCTCTATGCTTCAACTTCCTGCTTTTATAGGATTGTCCTTAGTATTAAATGATGCCTATAAAGCATGTAGTACTCAAATCCTTGTTTAATAAGTGGCCAAGGTGTTTGGGGGAGGTTCCGCTCCACCATCATGGTTCTTGTACTCTATGGGCCCTTGTTCCTGCGCATCACTCTTTCACTGGCCCTGCCCCTGCTACGATCCTTGTTTCACAGATGAGAAAAGAGGCCCCCGGTGACTCAAACTGGTCTCCTCACTCTGAATCCCACACTTTAACTAGTCATTGCTTTGAATTTCTGAGGAAGAGTAACAACACTTCCTCCCAGCTTCTTAAGAATCAGACGTGCTGATTTGGAAGTATTCTGGGGGACCACAACTTGAGTGTTTCTTCAAGTGTCAGGCTCTGTGTCCCCATCAGGAGGGCAGGAGGGGGAGCTAGCTCCTGTGATCAAATAGGCTCCAGGGGCTTTGCTGTGGGACTGGCCAAGGAGGGATAAAGATCAAAGATCAAACCTTCCCAGAATGCAGATGAGCCCAACCCTGACTGATAGGGAAGTAGCTCCCGTATCTGAGGATGTAGTCTAGGCAGACAATGGGGCGGGTGCAGCCCAAACAATGGGCTGAGACTGGGAAGTGAAGGTCTGAAGCCAAGAGACAGCAGGCCTCTCTACCTCAGTGTCAGTGCCTCTTGCCTTCGTCATCAAGGCTGGCTCCAGTCCAACTCCAGTCCAAAGACTAGTCTTGGAGAACACTTAGAGCCTTACAACCTTGGTGCCAGAGAGCTAAGGTCCAGCGAGGAACCTCTCACCTGGAGTCCTGCAGGGACCACACCAGGGAGGAGAGGGAAGAAGGGAGGAGAATGGAAAGACCATTCTCTCCAGGAGGCAGAAGTCAGCCTTGAAACCAAGATCCTGGCTCCCAGGGCAGGGACCTTATTAAGACTTTCTCTGGTCCACCCCCCAAACCCACCCACTCCATTCCTCAAAGAGTAACATAAATAGGTGAGAGGGAGGGGAGCCAGCCACAATGTGGTGTTTGGGGCTGTGTCTTCTTTCATGACTTTGCCCTCTGGGTATTAGAACTTAACTGAAAGAAAAGGGGGAGGGCCCAAAAAGGGGTTTGGCTCAGTTGATAGAAGGTCAGACTTCGGACTCAAGGCTCCCAGGTTCGATTCCGGTCAAGGGCATGTACCTTGGTTGCGGGCACATCCCCAGTAGGGGGTGTGCAGGAGGCAGCTGATCCATGTTTCTCTCTCATTGATGTTTCTAACTATCCCTCTCCCTTCCTCTCTGTAAAAAATCAATAAAATATATTTAAAAAAAAGAAAAGAAAAGGGGAAGGGAAACTGAGGTGTGTGGATTCAGGCTATCTGTGGAATATCACAGGTAAAGAAAGTTTGTTTTCACGCTCCTGCTCCTGGCCCAGCTGAAAAACAATCTTTATCTGCATTTGTAAAAATGTTGTTCTTCTGCTGAGCAACCCCTCCTACCCTCATATTGAAAATAACAACGAACATTTGTCCATTATGTTCACTTCATCTGAATAGCCCTCTGCTTAATGTATCATTGTTATCCCCATTTTGCAGATGAAGAAAACAAAGGTCAAAGAAGCTAAGTGAATTGCCCTCGGTCAA